ACCTTGAATACGGCGTGCGACCCGCAACGCAAACCCAAAGCCCCTCAAGAGTCCGACCCTTTAAGTCCGGTCCGCTCTGAAAGAAACAGGTCAAGGCTACAGATCTTCACAAGACACAGTCTCAGCCAACCCAAACTCAAACCAGCACGATCCTCAGAAAAAGGACCCCCAAAAAAGGATGCTATCATTAAGCAGGCGCGAAGAAACACCAGCTTGAATACGTATACCTCAGAAGACCCAAACCGTCGAAAGAGCTGGACTAAAGCCCCGCATCCATAGCAAGTCACAGCCCCAACGCCGACCAGACCGCCCGTAGCTTCATCACCATCTGAGCAGAAGGTCTCTGGAAGGTTTACCGCCGCGGCACCCAACAGGCTTGGGAGGCGAAGCCTTGTGTGCGTTTGGGGTGCCTGGACTTGCCTGCTGTTTTCGGGAGTACTTTGGGGCGTTGGGGTTTCAATGAGTGCAAACGGGCATAATTGCAGGCTTGTTGTCGGTTAATAGATTGAAGCCATGGTTGTTGGGTTTGCGCTGTCGGTTCTGGATTCAGGGTTTAATTAGGTGGGCGTAGGGTTTAATTAGAAGAGTTTGGCTTTCGGATTTCGGTGGGGAGTTTGGGGTTTGGTGTGCAGCGATGAGTTGGGTTTACTTATCACAGATTGGCTGCTGTCTTCCCAACTCAACGAACCTGTAACCCGAAGGCACGCAGTCCTTGAAGTGAGAAGTCCTGCAATGCATGCGGCTCTGGGCAACCATAAACAGAATTTAGAGTTGATGGGTTTCAACCCTGCAACCTAAACTGCTGTCTTCGGCTTTCTCACAGCCTCATACCCTCGCCTCCCCGAAAAGGGTCGTTGCCTCACAAAGATCGAGCTCAGTTGCCGAAACTATAATCCGATCGATTGCAAATCCTTAAATTTAAGGGGGTGGGGGTGTTCTGACAATAAGAAGGTCCTTACATGAAAGCAGGATCCTGCTAGTCTTATGTCTGTACCTGCGTCTGCTTGCTGCTAGCAACCCTAAGCCTTCAATTCCGGGTTATCAAGGTATTCCTGAGAAATCGAAGAAACACTTCCAAGTCTGCATCAAACCTTTGCAAGCCCGGCGAACTTCAACTTCAACAGCCCCATAGCTGCAGGACATACCTCGGGCCTGGCTGACACGCATGAACTTCGAAGAGCCACGGCCTTGGCAATTAGCGGTGGGGGTGCGGGGAGGCGGGCCGTGCATGCACAGAGGCTCTTTGTTGGTGTTTGGTTCGGGCTTATCTCGGGATGATCCAGCACTCTGGCAGTCTAGTTGGCGGTGGAAACTTGGAGATGCGCCGCATTCCGGCACTACTCAGTGCCTCGTAATTCAATAAGTGAAATCTCGGACCTGAGGAGTAGAATGCGATGGAGCCAGTGGCCTCCCATGTCAAGAGACTTACAGGACCCCGGAAACAAAAGGACATTTCCTCTCATTGTACATCCAAAACCATTTACTGTACTATAACCATTCCACATATCTCCGTGCCTCTTTTGTTTACACCCAAACCCTCAAGCCTGAAACCCCCACCCGGCTTCGAGGTTCTTGGCCTGGATGAACGAGCAGGTGCTTTCTCCAATCTGGGGTGGCATGAGGGCATGTGCGCTGCAGCTCCTCATCAACAGGGTCCTTTGAGTCATACCATGTAGGGTTTGATACGGTCAAAGAATGATATTCTGGATTTCGCACAACCTCGACCCTGCCCGCTCTTAACGGAACTGGAAGCCCATACGGAGTAATCCCTTTGATGTTGGCCTTTTGGGTAACATGCTTGAAGTCTGAATATATGCACCTGCCCAGTATGAAGGTGATTGCGCACACAAGCTCACAACACACACATACACAGAGGACACCTGGAACCTTTAACTAAGTGTCTTGTAAGTGCGAACAAAAGCTGGAAAACCTCCCTGCACAAAAACCTCACAGCAGGAACGAAGTGCGTTCGTTGTGTGAAGGCCATCGCTCGCTCGAGGGGCTTTGCCGTGTCGGAACGGCAGCTCTTCGACGTGCCTTGCAAGGGGGGTTTAGAGGATGACTAGGCTCGACAGGCTGTTTCGAGGGTGGTGAAGGAGTTCATTAGGGGCCAGAAGAGCCCATAGAACATAAAGTAGTGACACCCACCCGTGATAGACAGGTTTTTGGTGTCACACCCATAGCCGTTCAGCATGTCGGGTTTCTGGACACGGAGTGCTTCGGGCGCTGAGTTTCAGGGTTTTGTGCTCAGGATTTAGGGGCACTAGGTGCTAAGATGTTCGTGGTTCCGTTTGGATTGTAGGTGCGGAAATTTCAATCAAAGGCCCGATGTGTGAACCCTGCACCTGGACATCAACCCTGAAGCCGAAGTCTTTAAACCCTAATCCAGAATAGCTGCGCTGCAGCATGAAGGGGAGACTTTGGCTGGGCACCCTGAGATCCTTGTCCATGAGATTTGCCTGCCTTCTGCGAGTGCAAGAGTCGCAACCTCAATCCCCACGGCGGGACGGATCATCTCGTAACCTCGCCTCTCCTGTGCCCAGACTCATGCTTAAAGTGTGGATGACAGTGCTGGGGTTTGGGGGTGCAGGGCGTCGAGTGTAGCGCGTGGATTTAGATTGGGTCGGGAATTCCACTTTGCGAAGCTGTTTGGCAGACCCGCAGAAGATTCGCAGACGCATAATTCCTAAGATCCTGCGGTTGTCTCACCTCTACCTACAGATCAACGTGACCTCGCCTCGCTCTTCAGATTTAAGTTTCCAGCTGCTTAGTTGCCTTCACCCAAGTAAGCCCCAATCGGAAGCTCAAAGTGCCAAGAGCAAAAGTCTGTGAGGCCTAGGCCTGAGGCTGGAGGCCAAGAGACTGCTAAGACCCAAGACCCATGTCCAACCACATCCAGCCACCTCACCTATAGAAGTTTGAGGTCCTTGACATCAAAGGTATCGGCACGGTCACTCTGAAGGAGAGTGGGAGGCTTTTGGCAGGGGTGGTCGGTTAGGCCAGGTGATCACAGAACCTGAGCCTTTTTCGAGGAGGTATTGCCCGCATTTTTATGCCGATTGGAAAGAAAACCCGTCTGGTTTGACTTGCTCCGCCTTATGGCTGTAGCTGTTTGCCACGTTGCTTTGGTCAGCGTTCGTTCGTGTTTCTGCTGTCTTTGGATGTTTTGGGTCGTTCACGACGGCTGCAAAGTATTTTGGGGGTGGCTTTCCGTCCCCACTTTGGTGTGGTGGTGTTGAGGCCACAAAAATGGAAGGACTGGGTGGGGGGAGTGTGGCTCACACGTCTCAGCCTCAACCTTGAGCTCGAAAGCTCCAGGCCAGAGTTCTAAACCTGGAGCCCGAAGCCCTACAAGCCCTCACCCTGGTAACCTGCTCCCGGTCAGGAGTTTCGATTCTTGGATTATTGGGCCCACAAGCGCCTAAAGAAGCCACTGCCACCCGATGAGGCGCGGAATTTGCCATGGGAACTGCGCTTCTCTTTTAGTTCAGCTGTGCTATATGGTGGCGGTATCGGATATCTAGGGTTCTGAAAACGCCATCTTCGGCAGGTCGAGACTTGCCAAAGCCTCGAAAGCCATGGTGGTGTGCTGGGCGGGTTTCGGAGGTTGGGCCTTGGGGCCATGGCTTGGAGGCTTTGGGCCTTGGGCCTTGGGGTGTACTTCAGCATTTGGGCATCAGCGGGCAGTAACCCTCAAACGCTCCTTGCGCCACCGACACCATAAAACAATAACGCCCCAACAACTTAGAAGCCTGAAGCCCAAGGCTCTAAAACTTAAACACCACATTCGACACCCTGAAGCCGCAGCCTTTCTTTTGCTGCAGCAGGTGCCGCCCGAGCCACCAACCTCCCCGAAGTCGGAACCCAGGTGCACAGCTTCGTAGATGGAAACTTAATGCCTGACGGTTGATTAGAGTTGGTTTTTGATTTTGAGGGGGGTCCTTAAAGGTTTGCGGTGTAGCGGAGTTCGGATCGAGGAGGCCTTGGGAGGCATTGATCGCTTTAGAGTTCAGTCGGCTTAGCTTTGTTCGCAGGTCCTCTTGTAGGGTTTCGGAATTGGGGTTTTGAGGTTCTGCTTCTGTGCTGGAGCTCCGCGAGATCATGGGCTCAATACCCGTGGGTTCCTGTGATTCGGGTTCGGAGTGCTGGCTTCAGGTTTCCATGTCAGATGTCAGGGTTCTGCCGCACTGACAAGGGGTTCCCTTTTTTGGGTTTCGGCGCTAGACCACACAACGGGTGTAGAGGAGGCACGGCCCGGGGCGTAGGAATATGGGAGTTTCAGAAAACCAGGCCTAAGCAGCAGGACCCTTGTAGCCTTGTTCTGCAATCCCATACTGATTGTAGGTTTGTGCGTTGGCAGTCATGGCTTTGAGCTCAGAGTTCCGGTTTAGGGTTTGAACAGCACGGGTCCACGCGGTTTTGGTGACAGGCATCAGGTCTTTTGCCGTCTCGTCCTTGGCATTCTATCGCTCCCGAATAGAGCCCGAACACCCTATGCAGCTGATGATGTCGTGTAGAGGTGGGCCCTTAGCAGGTTTGTTTGCATCGGCAACTGGAACTTCAGCAGATTGCACCTCGAAGAGCGCCCCTCCTCCGGCAACTGCCACTTTGGCTCGAGATTTCACACACCCAGGTTAATTTGAACCCCCGGTTAAGGCACATGGCAGTTGTGCATGCAGCCTCCAGCCCTCGACCCTCCACCTTAGGTACAAACGTTTGGCTAGGCTACATCCGGCTACCCTCTTACGCCTTTCTCCTTTCTCTTTTAGCTCCGTTAAACCGATGATGACCCAGCTAACCTCGAAACCGCCAGCCGCCAGCTCCAAGACTGCACCCTTCGATGGCCATCTGCTCCAACCCTCGAAGTCGAAGTATCAGGACCGTAGATCCCTTTAATCGGAGCCCCAACCGCAATCTTGAAAGACCCCTGTGGGAGAAGCATTACTCAAACCACGACCCTGAAACCCTAAACCTTGGGAACCTTTACACCCGCATTCGGGATGCTTCACGTTTGGCGAGCCTCCGGTGAAGAAATCTGTGCCGTGCCCGTGGCAGAGTTGACGGATGTCCGAGCCTTGAAGAGGCCACGCTGTACTGGGGGGCTCCTGAAAGCAAGGATCCTATTGTTGAGGGTCTGCGTTCGGCTCCCATTTTCTTCAGAAGCTGAACTAGGCAGTCGGCGTCTATGATTTCGGTTGAACTTCTGAAGCGAATCCTTCCAAGCAGTGGCTTGGAAGCCGTTCCGACATGTGTGCATACATGCAGGACCGTCTCTATCCATCCGTTTGTCCGTCTTTCTATCTGTCTGTTTATCTCTCCATCAGCTAAAGCACCTACCCACCGAGCTACCTACCCACCCACCCACCCACCCACCCACCCACCCACCTACCTACCTACCTACCTACCTACCTACCTACCTACCTGCCTGCATGGCCATTTGTCTATCTCGTTATTTAGCTATCTACGTATCTATCCATCCATCCATCCATCCATCCATCCATCCATCCATCCATCCATCCATCCATCCATCCATCCATCCATTCACCTATCTTGTTATGTATCCTTTGTCTACTCAAACTACCTGTCTAATTGTCTATCTGTCCATCCATCCATCCATCCATCCATCGATCTATCTATCTATGTATCTACTTGTCTAGCTGTCTGTTTATCTGTCGATCTGTCTATCTATCTGTCTATCTATCTATCTTTTTTTCTATCTATCTACCTATCCAGCTACACATCTTTTCATCCATCCACCTATCCATCCATCTATCCGTTCCTGTATATACCTATGCACTCATGCATCCATCTATCTATCCGTCTATCCATCTGATTACCTCTCTATCACTCTACCGATTCGTCCATGCATTAAGATATGTCAATCTATCTGTCCATCTACCTCTGCATCGGTATGTATGCATGCTTGCATGGTTGTGCGTGTGTGTATATGGGTCTGTATTTAATGTATTTACAATTATTTACATATGTAGGTATGTATGGATGGGTGTGCGTATGTATTTATGTATCTGTGCATGAATGCATGCATGCACGTACGTATGCATATGTTTATGATCTCCGGTTCCGGTCTTGCAAGGGTCCCAGACATGGGATTGAAATTCAGCAAAAAAAGAAACAAATGCGACGAAAAAAGCGACCCCCCCAAGGCTATGTAAAAAGAAAGCAATACAATGTAAACAACAAAAGCAACGACAATGTAACGAAAAATGTGACAACACTGCAATCCAAGCGGATAATCACCCGCGTCTTCTGCTCCTGCAAGCAGAAAAAGCAGCACAGCAAGCAGCCACGTTGACGTTCATCCCTGGGCCCCGAGGCCACCGCACCATTCACAACCACATAATCGTACCCAGCTGGTAGACTCCTACCTACCTGAGACCCACCTTTTCGGTTTTTCGGGCTGTGCCGGCCCCCTCTGCACGAAAACCTGACAGATCGCTGTTGTTGGTTGCATTTTGTTTCGGTGGCTTTCGCCCCTAGTTTTTGGAGGTCCGACGGTCCCCCTGGAAAATGGGTTCTGGAGAGGGGTGGGGGGGGCTGGGTGGAGGCTGAAGTTCTGTCAGCTTGTTATAGGCTTTATTGAATTGAATGTCGAGTCAATATGCGAGTCTGGTTGGTTGCTTTTGGTTTGCTTTTTGTTTTCTTTCTGGTCAATATAAACAGCGGTTATTGTTGGCTGCTTGTTTGTTGATTTTTATTTGTTTTTTGGTCGCTTAGTGTTTGTTTTGTTGCTTTGTGTTTCAAGAGGCGGGGCTTTTTTGATTACATTGTCTGCGCTTTGTTTCTGCGTTTCGCTATTCCTGCAAAGGCCGGAACCCGGCGATCATAAGTATACGTATGTATATGTATGCATATGTACGTATATGTATGTATGCATGTATGTATGTCTTTATGTATGCATATGTGTATGTGCACGTGTATATGTATATGCATTTGTATATCTATATGTATATGAATGTACGTATTTCTGATCTATGTATCTATGTATTTATGTATCTGCGTGTAACTATGTATGTTTATTTCTATGTGTATCTGTGCATGCATGCGTGCATGTATGTGCGCGCATTTGTTTGTATGTATCAGCAGGATCCCTGGGGCTGTTGGCAAGTTTCCGTGCTGGGTGCTTTGATGGTGGAATCTAGTCCAAGACACGGGAGAGAATTTCCCTGGCGAAGAATGTAGAATGTCGCAGATGCATAGGCGCTTGCACCGTCTTTGTGGTGTGCCACGCTTCCGGCAGAAGCTGCCGCTGGTCTTCTACGGAGGATACGGGTTTAGGCCTTGGGTTTACGGTTTCGACCCGCTCACTCTTCTTCGGTGAAGGCAACACACGCAGCAAGAAAGACTTCAAGAGTGAAGTCTCAGCCCCGCAAGCTCTGCCTTTAAGGCTGGTCTGGAATGGTGGTCTCATGGCCGACGACGTCCTGTTGCAGTCACCGATGGATCTTCAACTGATCCTGCTGCCCTTTGCCGAAGCCAGCGAGGACTGCAACATAGGGGTGTCACAGGTGTGTCAAGGGCTGCTGAGAAACGTGGCCTGGGGTTGAGTATTTCCTATATAGGTTCCCAAGTAGTACCCTTATAGCATGTGTTTGGTTGTTAGGAATATTATTGCTCTGTTCTTTCCGGGCTTTGCTTGGGAACCAGGATATCGGGTTGAGGTTTGGGTGGGTCTAGTTGCGATGTTTTGATCCTTTCCGCACTCCCTGGCTCATTTTCTAAGTCCCATAGCTATCCGGCCACCCCAGAGAGCTGAAGCCTCAAACCAAAAAAGTCCCGAAACCCAAAAGCCTCAAAGTACCACCCTTTTACTAGTTATATTCCCATTTCCATTTAATACCTACATGGTTCTAACTGCTGAGGTCTTGAATGAATTACCTAGACTTTCTAAACCCTACAACCCCGCTCGCAACACTTAACCATAAAGTCTGGACAGCGAGCCTGTTCCAAGCTTCATCCCATAGTCCATGCTTGGAGCCGGCAAGACTTGAAACCCAGAAGCCTGCAACCCCAAACCACCAAAATCCTATGATCCTGAAGCCCCGAAAATCGCAAACCCCCAGGAGGACATCGACGATTTAATCGGAGCTTCTGACGGTGGCAGTGTGGAGGGAGTCGAAGCAGTGCCCCTTGGGCTTTTGATGCTTTCATTCCTTGAGTTTAGAGGTACCTGATGGTCTAGAGATTTCGGGCTGCTGATTCTTCAGAGTGTCGGATTGTGCGGTGCTTGCTTTGTGTTCTGGTTCGGGTGATTTAAGGCTGTCGGGCTTAGGGACGTTGCTGGCGCAGGGTGCTGTAGGATTTCGGGCATTTAATGGTTTGAGGTGTGCGGGTTTTGGGGTCTTGCTGCTGCGGTTGAAGACTTTGATGGGTTACGATTTATCAGGGTTCAGCTGTTCGAGACTTTGTTGGCTGGCTTTGACGGGTTGGGGTTTAGGGACAACGCGCCTCTGCACTCGTGCGGTTGGAGGGGGTTGTATAGTTCTGAAGTCTCACGTCGCGTTTTGAAGTAGGCCGCCGGATGCTGAAGAGTTTCGCGAGGCTCAGGCGAACACTAGAACTAAGGCCGATTTGGCCCGTTGTAGTGTAGCATGAAGCTTACGGAGCGGGTGTTTGAGCTTCTGAACCTGAGTTGTCAAGATATTTCGTATACATGCTTTCAGTTTCACATTCGTTAATTTTCGATCGTTGAAGCTACAATCACCAAGCCATCTTGAACATAATAAAAACTGAGGTTAAATCGTCCTCAGAACCCTGATGCGATGTGCCTTGGTCGGAAAAAGTGTGTGTCGGGACACTTGGAGTTGTGGCAGCCGGCCCCTACAAAATCTTGGCCCATGAGCTTTCAAGCAGCTGTGCTTTGAGCTGGTATAGGCCAGAACAAGCCCATCCCATCAGCTTCACGTGGGTGCGATCTAGTATATCGCCGTATCTTATCAGCTCTCCGCAGGTTCGATATTCAACCGTACAAAACCCTATGAGACCCAAGTTGAACCTCGAGCATAATGTTTAGGACTTTCTCTTGGTCAGCTTTGGGTCTGTGATGTCTCAAGCTTTCGATTGATATCCTGGGGATCCTTGAATCTTTTGATAGAGGAATTCCGAGCTCATAAGGGATATAGGCGTTGATGAGAGTTTTCGGGCTTTCGGTGTTTAATCTGATTGAATGTTCAGCCCGAAGAGATTTAAGCCCTGAAAGCCAAAGCTTCCGAAACGTGCCCAGGAATTCGAAACGCGGCTTCTCCGCCCTCGGACGTGCAGCAGATCTGGGCCATGTAGAGGCTGAAGCGGTGTGGAGTATTAGAGTTTAGGACTTGTGCGGTTCTATGTACTTGAGCCTTAGGGTTCCGTTGAGGGTTTCAATCGCAGTGTTGGGCTTTAGGATGGCTCAAGGCGAACACTGCTGCGACGATGACTACCGAGAAGTTCAGGTTCATGAATGCTTCTGCTTTGTGAAAAATCTCAATTGTGTCTTCAAGGCACGGCTAGTTTTGCACGGCATGTATTGTTGGCACACAGGTATAGGGTCAACGGAGTGCAATGGTAATGGGGACGGTCGGGAAGGTCTGTGCCTTGAGCTGAGGATGTTTGAATTCTGAAGCTCTGACCCCGAAACACCAAAACCCGGACGGAACCGCGGAACCCTTTGCCCTGGCAGGTTGCGCAGCTACTTTTGGAGGCAGGCGCCGATCCGGATCTTCAGAGCATGAACGGCTTCTCAGCATCATGCCTTGGGAGGCCATAAAATCCTGCGAGGACCTGCTTCATGACTAGATGTGTGTATGTGTGCATTAAGGACCTGGTAACGATCCGTCCAGGTTGACTCGGGGTTCTTCCCACATGCGCTGCAAACTATCTCAGACTCAGAAGAAGAATTAGTGGCTTGAACGTGGCGTGAGTTGCGGATACCACATTGATGTGGTTATGCTATGGCGTTCTTCTTGAGATCTTTCCATCCTTGTTGTGGATAGTGGGTCAACGTGGTGTCCGGCGCGGTTAGCCTCCCGTGGTCTCCCTATAAGTGGTGGCTTTGTGGATGTTTTGCTTTCCCATGGATACGCAATTCCGGCCACATTCCGGGTACGCGGAGTAACGGAGAGGGATATCATGGAGGTGGCCCTGCCTCTCTCCCCACATATGCGTATGTTCACATGTATCGGCTGAAATGCATATGTTTGTATCTAGGCTGGTTGAAATGCGCAAACGACCTCTGGAGTGTGGTTTTGTCTCATGCTGAGCCGGTCAATGCCTTGTGAGCAGCGAGAAAGGCTTGCCTGTCTTAAGCTGAGATACCGGAGTCGCAACCCCAAGCCCCATTGCCCCATAGCCTATTGCCAGTAAAATTTCGGGTAGACACACCAAACCCAACTGGCTCACTTGACCATCCTTGCCCCGTGCATTGCGTCAAGTTATGGCCTGCATTGTCCGTTATGTTCCTCGTGCTCTTAACCCTAATTAACGGCCTCCCATCGCCAGCTGAGACCGAGGCTTTGGCCATGTCTTGGCACCGCTCCAAATCGCAGCTGGGTTTCCTTTCATCTCCATTATTACCGCGGTGCTGAGTTGGTTTCGGCGGGGATTCGGGTGTTGCTTGACTTGGCAGAAGGTTGCAAATCCGTTTGTGGCTTCCATCTAGGATGTATATATGCAGTATATTTTGTTTGACCGTGTCTTGTTTTTCTACCCTCGAGGCAGCCCCCCCCCCC